ATGCATGAGATAAACGGCTTTCCCCTGTCAAACCGGGACTTGAATACTGGTGGAGTTCCATTGTGCCGTCATGTCTAGGAGAAGGCTCAAAAAGGCAGTGCCTCACTTCACCAATCATCTTCACACGCTAGAGTTCTGGAATAGTTTGATAAAACCATTATCTTTAGCCCACCGATTCACGGTTTTTGGTAGGTCTGCAGACTTTGAGTGAACTAGGTGGAGTTTGGGTAAGTACCGACTGGTCCACATATTTTGGGTAATCGATCTTTGTGTGTATTTCGGTTCGGTATTAGGTCGGGTTAAAGTCTAGAGAACCAAATTTTATCCAATTTTTTTTTGTTATGATTTGGATTCAAAAATTATGGTTATTTATCACACGAAAACTCAAAATTAAATTCAAAACCCTGAAAAATATCAGTAAATCCAATTTTTATTTAAAGAAAAAATATCAAAATACTAAAAATATATTTGAAAGCTCGGAAAAAGAAATCCAAAAAAAACTAAAAAATTATATCAATAATATGAAAACTAATCCACAATACCATAATTTAGGTAATTCGGGTATCTGATCGGCTATCGATTCGGTTTGGTTCGAGTATTACACACTAATATCAAATATTTTACCCATCGGATGATTTGTTTTATACCTCAAACCAATCAGTTACGTGTATTTCGGGTCGATTTGGTTTGGGTTTCTAAGTATAGGTTAAATGTTGCAGGCCTAACATTGTATAGGTTTGGAACAATCACTCCGACAAGCATATATATATCTGATCCATACATATCTAAGAATAAAAATAGGGACAACATTATAAAAATCAGATTCAAAGATCATTGCAGAGAAACCCTAAAAGAGATTGCTTGCAGGACAAGATATAGTTTTTTTTTTAAAGTTACATCCTGGACAATGGAGTTTTGTTCGTAGATGTTTTCCAAATGCTCGAGAAACATATTCTCCTTGAGAGAGTTTGATCAGGTTTACAATCGATGATCTTTAGTACTCCGTTTGGAAGAAATTCACCTGTCTTCTGTTAAAAAACACCAAGCACATAAATCTTTTCAAACCGACAAACCATGAAACCATGAGATATACAGAGAAATCCGAAACCAGATTCATTTCACCCTTAATTCGAGTTATCCTATCGGCATTAGGATCATTAGAGTAGTACTCGAGCTGTTGGCTTAGAACTCTTGAGAACTTATCATTCATAGCATAAGCTTTCGCCAAATGAACCGCCTGGTCATAAGTCCGGACAAATCTCTCGTGTGTATCCTCAATAACCGAAAATGGAATTCTAACAGTCAAAACGTATAAGAAGAGTTCACAAGCATTGTCAAAAGAAAAATAACTTTCCAAGAAACTAAAAGTTAACTGAAAAAAAAAAAATCATACTCTTGATACATATTGTTTACCAAATTATGGCCCTAACTGGTGTTAGCAGAATTGCTGAATGCTGAAGAATCTAGCTGAATATTTTTTGTTGGTTACCAGTTGAAATGAGAACAGATTCAGCTGGAAAAAACAAAAATCCACTAAAAGACAAAAGTTGCAGAATTAAGTTTACAAAATTACTATTTATACTGCTATCTTTGTACTACTAGTATTTGTATCACTATATTTAGTACCACTTATATTTTCGGTCAAGGGTGAAATGAATCTGGTTTCGGCAAAACAAACCAAACAAAACAGTCTTATACAACATCAGTTATTCAACAAAGAATGGAGTATATTAATCAAAATTATGTCATCTATTAGTAGTTTATCACGCACACACATATAGAGAATGTTATTTTGCTAGAAAACTTTAATTACATGGGCTATTATGATGCTTGAGAAACAATATTGGGGTCATATGTTATTTCACAAAAATTGATTAGAAGAAGTGATTGTTGTGTTAAGAGCCTCTTGTACGCAGTGGAGTCCGTGGCAACTACTGGATTCCATTTTACCAACCAGAGGCTTTGCTTATTCATTCGGTCTTTGAAGCAGACTCGATTAGTATGGAGATCTTGAAACCCATATCATTCATGTCTTGGATAACCCAGCTAGCTTATTTCTTCTTTTGGCTACTCTATCACATCTCCTGACATCAAAACTTTCTCAACGCTGCCTTGACCAGCCAAATCTCTTCAGAAACATCGATTTCCCAAATATCAGCACAGTGTTGTGTAGCTGCTTAAGTTATTAGTGAAACCTTAAACTTGAAAATTGAAACAACCAACACTTTTTTTTTTAATAATTAAATACTAAACAATTCTAGCGAAGGTCTTTAAAATAAATTAAATAAATAAAATATCAATAACAAATAAATCAGTTCAGCGGAAGCAAATACTAATTGAACAAGTCTAGCAAAATAATGCAAAATAAATAAAAGCAATAACATCCTATCATCCCCTCTTCAGCCTTGATTCCATGATCACACAAATCTTTTACCTGCAACACATTGGAATGGAGTTGCGTAAGTATTTAATAAATACTTAGTGAGACAATCACTCTGCCTACAGGCCAATTACGCAATTTACTAGATATTTAATAATATTTATAAACTCCAATAATTATTAAATACCATTTTCCAATTATTAAATAATTATTAATAATTAAAACTTCATTTCTCAATTATTAAATAATTCTTATAATTAAATAATAATTTTCCATATTTTAAAATAATTTAAATAATTATTTAAGCCTCTTAATCAATTAAATATCATTTAATTAATTAAATTTGAATTAAACCATTTAACCAGATTTTAACTAGAAATCACTTAATTTGAACCAGAAATTAATTTCCAATTGAACCAGACAGAACCGGCTGCGTCGACCGACGCAAGCTTTGCATCGACCGACGCAAGCTCTGCGTCGCCCGACGCATGTCCGTCAAGTCGACAGAGATATCATTAAAACACGCAGAAACACCAAATTAACACAGGAATCAACCAAACATCATCACATAAACCTTATATCATAAGAACACCTCAAGAACAACATTCAATCAATCCAGATCTAGTGATTTGCGGACCTACAGTCATGCACTCACCTTGAATTGGATTGAAAAAGGAAGAGGAAGAGAAAACAATGAAGAACAGCAACAGATCCGCCTCAGATTCGCCCAAGAACACCACAGATCTCTCCAAAATCGCCCAGCTCTCCTCATGAACTTCTCCTTTTCGCAAAAGGACAAAAGTGAGGAAGAAAAACGGCTGCTCCTTCTTTAAACTCGAAAATCAGGGTTTCCAGCCCTTAACCGGGCTAAACCGGACCCAATTTCACTTAAATCGAACCGGGTCTGATTTTGCAATTGTTGCGTCGACCGACGCACACCTTGCGTCGCCCGACGCACACCTTGCGTCGCCCGACGCACACCTTGCGTCGCCCGACGCAACCCCCAAAACTCCAAAAAAGGGCTACGGATGTTACAACTCTCCTCCACTAAACTGGATTCGACCTCGAATCCCAACACAACGTCACAGAGACCACAAAAACCCGACCTCGCAAGGCCGCAATACTGGAGATCCTCACCTGATCCCCGAGACATACGTCAAATCCTATGTCATAAGCACATTCCACTAAAATTTCACTCCTAACTCATCATCCAAACACATCAAAACAACTTGTACTGGGGCCCACTTGCACCCAGACAAGTTCACACCGGTCCGCACTGAGGCCCACTTGCACCCAGACGAACCCGAAAACGTCCATACTGAGGCCCACTTGCACCCAGATGAACTAAAATGCTTATACTGAGGCCTACTTGCACCCAGATAAGCTACACTCAACTGAGGCCTACTTGCACCCAGAGAGTCTACCAGAGAACGAAATCTCCTTCTTTAAACTCGAAAATCAGGGTTTCCAGCCCTTAACCGGGCTAAACCGGACCCAATTTCACTTAAATCGAACCGGGTCTGATTTTGCAATTGTTGCGTCGACCGACGCACACCTTGCGTCGCCCGACGCAACCCCCAAAACTCCAAAAAAGGGCTACGGATGTTACAACTCTCCTCCACTAAACTGGATTCGACTTCGAATCCCAACACAACGTCACAGAGACCACAAAAACCCGACCTCGCAAGGCCGCAATACTGGAGATCCTCACCTGATCCCCGAGACATACGTCAAATCCTATGTCATAAGCACATTCCACGAAAATTTCACTCCTAACTCATCATCCAAACACATCAAAACAACTTGTACTGGGGCCCACTTGCACCCAGACAAGTTCACACTGGTCCGCACTGAGGCCCACTTGCACCCAGACGAACCCGAAAACGTCCATACTGAGGCCCACTTGCACCCAGATGAACTAAAATGCTTATACTGAGGCCTACTTGCACCCAGATAAGCTACACTCAACTGAGGACTACTTGCACCCAGAGAGTCTACCAGACAACGAAATCTCCAAAAACATGATGAGTTATTCAGGATCGTAATCCTTAGAGTAAAAATTCCGGAAATTGTCTATAGCCATAAGATAAGACCGTCTCACAACCAAAAACTGGTCAAACATGTGTAACATCCGAATACCATTTCACAACACAAGGCAAAATGAGAAAAAAAAACTGATCTCATTAAACTCCAAAATGTATATCGTTAACACCAAAACGAAAATACAAATACAAAGCATCCTCACAGGCACTGCCGGCACTGTCAAATCTGGCTGAACATCCTCTGGAATCCTAGCCACTAACTCCTCTGTAGGGTGAAGACACTTCCTCAGCATCGACACATGAAACACCTTGTGAAAGGCTTTCATAATCTCAGGCAACTCCAGCCTGTAAGCCAATGGCCCAACTCGCTCCACTACTGGAAACGGACCCATAAAACACGGACTCAGCTTGTTCCCTGGTATGGATCTGTTAGGACCCCTCAACATAGCCATCTTGAGATAAACTCTATCTCCAACCTGAAACTCAAGCTCTCGTCTGCGTCTATCTGCATAACTCTTCTGCCTATCCTGAGCCTCCTTCATGTTCAGCCTCACAACACGAACCTTCTCTGTCGTCTCCTAAACATAAGTAGCTCCATACATGCTGCGCTCCCCCACTTGGGTCCAGCATAGGGGTGTCCTACATGGCCTCCCATACAAAGCCTCGAATGGAGCCATGCCAATACTCGCCTGAAAGCTGTTGTTGTATGCAAACTCAACTAAGCTCAGGTGATCTGCCCAATGGCCACCCCAATCCAACACACACATCCTCAGCAAATCCTCCAGTCTGAATAGTCCTCTCTGACTGACCATCTGTCTGCGGATGATAAGCTGTACTCAAATGCACCTTAGTGCCCATCTCTGCCTGAAAGCTCTCCAAAACTCTGAAGTGAATCTGGGATCACGGTCTGACACAATACTAGCTGGCACTCCATGCAGCCTCACAATCTCTCGCACAAACTTCCTAGCCAAGACAGCAGCTCCATCTGTCTTCTTGATGGCCAAGAAATGTGCAGACTTAGTCAACCGATCCACAATCACCCAAATAGCATCAAAAGTCCTCGAAACAGGTAGTCCAACCACGAAATCCATCGTAATCCTGTCCCACTTCCACTCTGGAATGGGTAAACTCTGCAAAAGACCACCCGGAACCTGATGCTCTGCCTTCACCAAGGCACAAGTGTTGCACTTCGCAACCCAGTCTGCTACATCCCTCTTCATCCCGACCCAATGATAGTACCTCTTGAGGTCATGGTACATCTTGGTCGCTCCGGATGAATGGAAAACTTGCTCGAATGAGCCTCTCTCAGAATCTGATGTCTCAACTCCACATCCTTAGGCACACAAACTCGCCCACGAACCAAGATAGTCCCATTCGCAGAGACCTCATACTCAGAACCAGTCACTCTCGTCGCATCTAGCAAACTCTGATCACTCTGCTGAGCAACTCTGATCCTGCTAAGTAGATCCGCCTGATCCACTGCCTCTAAACCCAAAGGCTCCTGCGAAATGGCACACAAACGCAAGGTACTGATCTCGCCAACCAGAGACTCCACATCTCGCTCAACTGCGGAATCATACCTCCGTCTACTCAACGCGTCCGCCACTAGGTTAGCCTTGCCCGGATGGTAGTTAATGTTCACCTGATAGTCCGCCAAGAACTCAACCCAGCGCGTCTGTCTCGCGTTCATCATCGGCTGAGTGAAGATATGCTGCAAACTCTTGTGATCCGTGAAGACCTGTACTGTCTCACCCAGCAAGTAAGACCTCCAAATCTTCAACGCGAAGATCACTGCTCCCAACTCTAAGTCATGTGTAGGACGGTTACGCTCACTGCCCTGCCACTGTCTCGAAGCATATGCTATCACTCTGCCCTCCTGCATCAGCACACAACCAAGACCAATGCCTGAAGCATCTGTATACACCATGTAAGGCTTCCCTGGCTCGGGTAACGCCAACACTGGTGTAGTAGTCAACATCTCCTTGAGCTGACTAAAGCTCTCCTCACACTCAGCTGACCAAACAAAGGGACATCCTTCCCAGTCAACTTCGTCATCGGCTGCGCCATGGTAGCAAACCCCTTGACGAACCTCCTGTAGTATCCTGCCAAACCCAGAAAACTCCTGATCTCGGTGGCACTACTAGGTCTAGGCCAATCTCTGATAGCCTCAATCTTAGCCGGATCCACAGAAACTCCCTCTGCAGAAACAATGTGGCCAAGAAATCCCATCTCTCGCTGCCAGAAACTGCACTTGCTCAACTTAGCAAAAAGCTTCTGCTCCCGAAGCTTCTCCAGAACCAACCTCAAGTGAGTCGCATGCTCCTCCTGACTCCTCGAGTATACCAGAATATCATCAATGAAAATGATGACAAACACGTCCAAATACTCCCTGAACACGTCGTTCATCAATCTCATGAAGGCTGCCGGCGCGTTAGTCAAACCGAAAGGCATAACCACAAACTCAAAATGCCCATAACGCGTCCTGAAAGCAGTCTTCCTGACATCTGCCTCATCTATCGGGATCTGATGATACCCCGATGCCAAGTCAATCTTGGAGAACCAAGTAGCACCCCTCAACTGATCCAACAACTCATCAATCCTCGGGAGTGGGTACCTGTTCTTCACAGTGACTCGGTTAAGACCTCTGTAATCGATACAAAGTCTGAAACTCCATCCTTCTTCTTCACAAACAACACCGGTGCTCCCCACGGTGAAACACTCGGTCGAATGAACCCCTTAGACAAAAGGTCCTCTATCTGCTTCTTCAGCTCTGCCAACTCAGCTGGCGCCATCCTGTAAGGCGTCTTCGATATCGGTGCTGTCCCCGGCTCTAACTCAATCGTGAAAGGATCAGACCGAGATGGTGGTAATCCCTTCAGTGACTGAAAGACATCCTCAAAATCCTGGACAACCTCAATATCTCCCATAACAACTCCAGCTCCTGACTCAGACATAGAAATCGTCGCCAGATACGCCTCACAGCCCCGCTCTAACAACTGCTCGGCCTGAATAGCAGATATCACAATACTCCCGGAAGTCGGTCTCACTCCCTGATAAACCAACCTCCCTGCATCTCGCTCGAAGACCACTCTACCTCTGTAGCAATCCAGATGAACTCTGTAGTGACAACCAGTCCATCCCGAGAATAACATCATACAGCTCCACCGGACTGATGACCAAATCTGCTGGCATTGACTGCCCCGCAATCTCGATCTCGACTCCTCTAGCACGGCCCAAAGTAGACAAGAATCCACCTCCCGCCACCTTGACCATGCCCGCGCTCTCGCCGCGCTACTCCGGATGCCACTCTTCTCGGCACGCTCCGGTGTAATGAAGCAATTCGATGCTCCAGAGTCGAATAAAACGTGGGACTCAAAACCGCCCACTAACAAGGTCATTACACAACACATGCGTTGAGAACCTCCACAATTCTATCACACAAAAAGAACAAACTACAACCACCACAAATGTGCATCACCACTCAGATAGTGGACTGCTAACTCCACCTGATACTAAACCAAACATCTGATAGACTGGAAATTCCGCTCCAATCTCTGACGCCACTCATCTGCCGCCTCTGGGCTAACTCCGCCCTCAAAACGGCGTACCAATCCTCTGCATGTGCCCCATCATATCCAAGATAGGACGGCACCATCAAACCCGCAGCCTGCGGCTGAACAAATCCCGCAGCCCTCTGCTGCACCTCTGCCACTGGAGGTACTCCCGGAGCCCCTTGTGGAACCACTGGCGGAAAACGAGCCAATAACTGCGTCAGCAAACCCACCACTAAGTCATCAAGACCCTGAGCCGGAGCACCACCCCAACCCGGAGCAGCCCCGCTCCCAAACCAACACTCGCATCCACACTGGCCTCACTCGCCATGGATACCGACTGGGTCACCGACGCAGTCGCCACACTCGGCACCACACTCTCTCCCGAATCCGCCGAAGTCCACAATCTCGGCCCCGGCCTCCACGGCCTCAAGCACCGCGCCCTCTCGCGCCACAACCTCTAGCTACTCAGTCCATCTCACTCATGGAACCAAAAAGAGCACACTAGAACACGCAACCAAAACTCAAAACAAACATAAACTCACCGCGGAATCTCTTGTAGCTGAAGGGGATGATACTAAAGCCTAGCAATTCTAACAGTCCTAAAACCGTCTAGGCTCTGATACCAAAATGAAACAACCAACATTTTTTTTTTTAATAATTAAATACTAACAATTCTAGCGAAGGTCTTTAAAATAAATTAAATAAATAAAATATCAATAACAAATAAATCAGTTCAGCGGAAGCAAATAATAATTAAACAAGTCTAGCAAAATAATGCAAAACAATAAAAGCAATAAACATCCTATCATCCCCCTCTTCAGCCTTGATTCCGCGATCACACAAATCTTTTACCTGCAACACATTGGAATGGAGTTGCGTAAGTATTTAATAAATACTTAGTGAGGCAATCACTCTGCCTACAGCCATTTACGCAATTTACTAGATATTTAATAATATTTATAAACTCCAATAATTATTAAATACCATTTTCCAATTATTAAATAATTATTAATAATTAAAACTCATTTCTCAATTATTAAATAATTCTCATAATTAAATAATAATTTTCCATATTTTAAAATAATTAAATAATTATTTTAATCTTAATTAATTAAATATCATTTAATTAATTAAATCGAATTAAACCATTTAACCAGATTTTAACCAGAAATCACTTAATTTGAACCAGAAACAATTTCCAATTGAACCAGACAGAACCGGCTGCGGCGACCGATGCAAGCTTTGCGTCGACCGATTGCGTCGCCCGATGCATGTCCCAGGTCGACAAATATCAACAAAACACGCAGAAACACAAATTAACAGAGAATCAACCAAACATCATCACATAAACCAACACCTCAAGAACAACATTCAATCAATCCAGATCTAGTGATTTGCGGACCTACAGTCATGCACTCACCTTGAATTGGATTGAAAAAGGAAAGGAAGAGAAAACAATGAAGAACAGCAACATATCCGCCTCAGATTCGCCCAAGAACACCACAGATCTCTCCAAAATCGCCCAGCTCTCCTCATGAACTTCTCCTTTTCGCAAAAGGACAAAAGTGAGGAAGAAAAACGGCTGCTCCTTCTTTAAACTCGAAAATCAGGGTTTCCAGCCCTTAACCGGGCTAAACCGGACCCAATTTCACTTAAATCGAACCGGGTCTGATTTTGCAATTGTTGCGTCGCCCGACGCAACCCCCAAAACTCCAGAAAAAGGGCTATGGATGTTAATTATAACGCCCAGACCGCCCTTCCCGGTGAGTCACCCACGCCATCTCTCTGGGCCCGTGGGCCTCACCCCTGTCCGACGGCCAGTCCGTTATTTTTGAGAGGCTCTAATGACTTGTTTACTATCCCTGCAATCAACACCCGACCTTTCCCTGTGTTTTGGCCTCACTCACACGGTTTCGTAAACCACTTCCCGAAAGGTCACCCATCCTTCAACTACTCCAGCCCAAGCACGCTTAACTCTGGAGTTACTTATAGACCTTTGACCGAAAAGGTAAGTGCACTTTGTTGACATAGGTAGCCAAATAAAATTCTCTTAAGCCTCTCCACATTTATCACGAAGAGGGATGTTACAGAAATTGTTAGTCTGTATGCCTCTTTGGGTTCCAAAAAAATATTAAATTTCTACTATGCCATGATATTTGGGATTATATGTGACTACTTAGCATGGATTTCGAGAGTGCTTATATATTTATTCAATTCAACATATATTATTAAACCATTCAATAGATCCTATTGATATATTTATACATGCTGTTAAAAATGAATATTTGTAAGCAATATGTGGTTACAAAATAAACCAAAATGGCAAATTGAGGCATCGGCAAGCTTAGCTTTAGCACTGTACAATACGAATAACTAGTCACTGTTTTCTCATAGCACTAAGTTGTTTGGACAACTAAATATATAAAAAAGAACAGCTAATTCGACAAAACTTAATTTGGTGTTTATATCTCAAGATAGAGAAGCATTAAACAGATTAAAACAAATGCTAAAAATGGATACCATTACTTTCACTATAAAAATCATCTACACTCACCAATCATCTCGTTCACCTATCTAAACAGAAAATAAGAATTGCAATACTCATTTAGGATTTGAGGTGAAAAAAAAAGTTATGGCATGTCAAGCCTTCAAAAAAACATGCAGCATTTTCACGGTTGTTGCTATAATTATGATAGTATTTTCGGCACATATTTCTCATTCAACCAATGTAGAAATGTGTGTTAAACATTGTATCCCGAATCAGTGCTCGAAAGTGATGAAAAAATATGATCCGGTCATTTGCGAAGAAGCTTGCTAAAAACTTTGTAAGAAACAACAAACGGCTCATACAGAATATTACGTTCCTCCAAAGGATGGTGGCGGTTTTGTAAGTGGCATCTTATGCGGCTGGATGCAGAAGGAGTGCTAAAAAATTTTAATTTCAAATTATGAAAATTAACATTCTTTTTTTCTGCGTTAGTACAAAATGAAAATATAAATATATGTATGTGTCTGTTTGTATTATTATTATATTAGTCGACATATATTATGTATACATTCTTGTATTCTCATGTAATCCTTTTTTTTCGTTCTTTTATTATTAAATACTCCATTCGTTTCATAACAAGTGTCATTTAAGCAAAATAAGAATTCAATGGGGGATGTATTGAAGTAGGGGTTTTAAGTGATTATTATAGGTGATTTTGTATTTTAGGAGATTTTAGGAGATTTGGAAGATTTAGTGGGATTTAGGGTGGATTTTGTGGGATTTAAAAAACGTATTGATGGGATTTTGGGGGATTTTAATGGTATTTCAAGTGATTTTTGTGGGATTCTAAAAAAAGAAAATTATAAGGTTTGGGTGATTTGATAACATTCAAGAAAAAAAAAGTTCCTAGAAACATAAACTTTCGTTCCTAGGAGTAATGAAAAATAATTGAGCGAAAAAGCAAATCAATGTCTTTCGTTCAAGTGCCTAAACATATAACTTTTCAACTCGTAATTAAGATAAAACACATGAAGACACAGCATTTCCACATCAAGTAGTCGTCAGATTTTGATTTCATTACAATAATTGTTTAAACCCATCAAATTTTCAACAACCCAGAAACTCTAATCATTCAAATTAGCTGTTGTAACTCAATTAAGCTATCGAAAGGGAATCCCAGAGTTATTCTGTTGATTTGATCGATTTCGTGTTTTTATGTCAGTTTCGTGATTTCGGGTTCGGGTCTGCGAGTCGGTGTCGACCAACACCACTTTGGTGTGGATCGACACAGGGTGCTGGTGTCGGCCGACATCATGGGTGGTGTCACTCGACACCAATGAAGTTTGTTGGTTTTGCTTGTGTTTCGCTTTTGTTTGATTGTTGGTTGCTTGTGCTAGTGTTTTGCGTAATTAGAAGCCATTACGAAAACAGTTTGAAAAGTTTCGCTTGAATCCATTTCGTCTTGTTCTGCCCAATAAAATGAAGGATCAATGGAGAAAACAGTTTCTCAAATCGAGCTGAAATAGAAAGAAAACAGAATAGACCTTGACTCTATCCATGGAGAAAGCAGTCACCACCTTCGACAAAGATAAGTCCTTTAACACCGACGACATTAAGGAACTCGGGTTAACTTTCCTTTTAACAAAGAAGCCAAACCTAACTTGCTCGACAAGATTTGTTTGGCAGGACAGAGAGTACTAGTGTATATTAAAATTGGGTGTTGACTCACAATATTACACTGCTGATTGATATAATGACAGTGATATATGCACGTCTCATCTTGTAAGTGTCTCTCCGGTAATCCACGAGACCACATCCTTGAACAAAATTTCTCTCTCTCTCTATCTCTCTCTCTCTCTCTCTCTATCTCTCTCTCTCTCTCTCTCTCTCTCTCTCTCTCTCTCTCTCTCTCTCTCTCTCTCTCTCTCTCTCTCTCTCTCTCTCTCTCTCTCTCTCTCTCTCTCTCTCTCTCTCTCTCTCTCTCTCTCTCTCTCAATTTTTTTTTTTAAACTTGTGTGTTATAATAGTTTTTAAAAACAAAATAAGCAAGCCTCAGGCAAAGATTCAATAATCTATTGTCTTATAGATCAAATACATGACATCCTAAAAAGATTACAAAGGTCCATGTAACATACTCTTAACAAGGTCTAAAGATATAGTTAACATTAATGTTAAAACGAGGGTGTTAAGGCTCTCAAGTCTCAACTCTCAAGGCTTCATCATCTTTTTTTGTTGCAATGCATGAGATAAACGGCTTTCCCCTGTCAAACCGGGACTTGAATACTGGTGGAGTTCCATTGTGCCGTCATGTCTAGGAGAAGGCTCAAAAAGGCAGTGCCTCACTTCACCAATCATCTTCACACGCTAGAGTTCTGGAATAGTTTGATAAAACCATTATCTTTAGCCCACCGATTCACGGTTTTTGGTAGGTCTGCAGACTTTGGGTGAACTAGGTGGAGTTTGGGTAAGTACCGTCTGGTCCACGTATTTTGGGTAATCGATCTTTGTGTGTATTTCGGTTCGGTATTAGGTCGGGTTAAAGTCTAGAGAACCAAATTTTGATCCAATATTTTTTTGTTATGATTTGGATTCAAAAATTATGGCAAAATTAAACCCCAAAACCCTGAAAAATATCAGTAAATCCGATTTTTATTTAAAGAAAAAATATCAAAATACTGAAAATCATATATATGAAAAGAGGCCAACTTCTCCATATTGTTGACACATGGACACAGGAGAAAATGACACATATTATATAATTTTCACTTTAAAAACAAAAATCCAAAAATTTAATATAACATTAATGCAACTTTTGGTCTTCTTTTGTGCTTATTGTAACATACAAAATATATTTTCATATAATTTTCACTTTAAAAAAAATATCCAAAAGTTTAATGGAATTTCAATGCAACTTTTGGTTTTCTTTTATGCCCATTGTAACATATAAAATTAAAAAAACTATTATATCACTTTAAAATTATTATCCTTCGTCATTAATCTTGAATCACTATTAAACATTTAAGTTCTCGAGAATTGGATTCAGAAAAAGCGATGGCAGAGAAGCAGAGTGTGTTCGACGTAGCGGTGAATAAATAAAGAGTGTCAAGGGTTTAAAAACATGTGGTATTATACAAAACTATATATTTGAAAGTCTAATGAAGCAAATAAAAATTACAATACAAGTGTTGTTGAATTACAATACAGGTGTTATTTGGGTTAAAAGATTAATCACAAATCTATAATTGTTTTATACTCCAAAGCAAATAAGAATTAAAATACGGGTGTTGGATTATTTGGAGTAACATTTTTCTTAAACTATAACAATAAGAAAACCCGCGCGTATGCGCGGGCATTACTCTAGTATATTTGAAAGCTCGGAAAAATAAATTCAAAAAAACTAAAAAATTATATCACTAATATGAAAAATAATCCACAATACCATAATTTGGGTAATTCGGGTATCTGATCGGCTATCGATTCGGTTTGGTTCGAGTATTACACACTAATATCAAATATTTTACCCATAGGATGATTTGTTTTATACCTAAAACCAATCAATTACGTGTATTTCGGGTCGATTTGGTTTGGGTTTCTAAGTATAGGTTAAATGTTGCAGGCCTAACATTGTATAGGTTTGGAACAATCACTCCGACAAGCATATATATATATATATATATATCTGATCCATACATATCTAAGAATAAAAATAGGGACAATATTATAAAAATCAGATTCAAAGATCATTGCAGAGAAACCCTAAAAGAGATTGCTTGCAGGACAAGATATAGTTTTTTTTTTAAAGTTACATCCTGGACAATGGAGTTTTGTTCGTAGATGTTTTCCAAATGCTCGAGAAACATACTCTCCTTGAGAGAGTTTGATCAGGTTTACGATCGATGATCTTTAGTACTCCGTTTGGAAGAAATTCACCTGTTTAAAAAACACCAAGCACATAAATCTTTTCAAACCGACAAACCATGAAACCATGAGATATACAGAGAAATCCGAAACCAGATTCATTTCACCCTTAATTCGAGTTATCCTATCGGCATTAGGATCCTTAGAGTAGTACTCGAGCTGTTGGCTTAGAACTCTTGAGAACTTATCATTCATAGCATAAGCGTTCGCCAAATGAACCGCCTGGCCATAAGTCCGGAAAAATCTCTGGTGTGTATCCTTAATAACTGAAAATGGAATTCTAACAGTCAAAACGTATAAGAAGAGTTCACAAGCATTGTCAAAAGAAAATAGAACTTTCCAAGAAACTAAAAGTTAACTGAAAAAAAAAATCATACTCTTGATACATATTGTTTACCAAATTATTATGCTATGTTAAGAAAAAAAATAGACTCTTCTTATTTCAATCTTTCTAGAAATTGAAGAAAAAATTCAACATAACTCGATCAGTTTATTGATCAATATCGGAAATAAATCATTCAAGGAATGCTCTGAAACATTCAAGAAGCAAACACAGAGATACAGAGGAAAATCGAAAGTAAAGAAAGGAGAAGGAGGAGGAGGACACATTTCCGTCGTTTTCATCGGCCATGAAGGAGGAGGAGGACGCATATCCGTCGTTTACATCGGCCATACAAAGAGTGGTGAGTCCATCCGTACGGTTAAACTGTACGTGGAAGACGTAGTGATCTTGAGAGGAAGACACATGGCTATCACTGTCTCCAGGGTGTACGAATAACAAGATCGAGCAACATTCATGTCATTTTGTTATGGTCGAAATCTTTGTTTTTGTCACTAAGTTATTATCTAAATGTGTCATTCATTTATTTTTGTTAAAAAATCAGATATGTAACTTATATCTATCAATTTCTTTTTCTAAATTAAGTTATTTTAAAATTTAAATTATAATAATTTGTTTGTTTATTATTTTAATAATTTTTTATTATAAAAACTACTATTGTACTACTGTAATGTTACTAATGGGAATTTATATTTGTACTATAAGTTTACAAAATTACTATTTATACTGCTATCTTTGTACTACTAGTATTTGTATCACTATATTTAGTACCACTTCTATTTTCGGTTAAGGGTGAAATGAATCTGGTTTCGACAAAAACAAACCAAACAAAACAGTCTTATACAACATCAGTTATTCAACAAAGAATGGAGTATATTAATCAAATTTATGTCATCTATTAGTAGTTTATCACGCACACACATATAGAGAAAGTTATTTTGCTAGAAAACTTTAATTACATGGGCTATTATGATGCTTGAGAAACAATATTGGGGTCATATGTTATTTCACAAAAATCGATTATAAGAAGTGATTGTTGTGTTAAGAGCCTCTTGTACGTAGTGGAGTCCGTGGCAACTACTCGATTCCATTTTACCAACCAGAGGCTTTGCTTATTCATTCGGTCTTTGAAGCAGACTCGATTAGTATGGAGATTTTGAAACCCATATTATTCATGTCTTGGATAACCCAGCTAGCTTATTTCTTCTTTTGGCTACTCTATCACATCTCCTGACATCAAAACCTGCTCAACGCTGCCTTGACCAGCCAAGTCTCTTCAGAAACATCGATTTCCCAAATATCAGCACAGTGTTGTGTAGCTGCTTAAGTTATTAGTGAAACCTTAAACATGGAAATTGTTAAACTGTATGCCTCTTTGGGTTCCAAAAAAATCTTAAATTTCTACTATGCAATGATATTTGGGATTATATGTGACTACTTAGCATGGATTTCGAGAGTGCTTATATGTTTATTCAATTCAACATATATTATTAAACCATTCAATAGATCCTATTGATATATTTATACATGCTGTTAAAAATGAATATTTTTAAGCAATATGTGGTTACAAAATAAACCAAAATGGCAAATTGAGGCATCTGCAAGCTTGCCATTAGCACTTTACAATACGAATAACTAGTCATTGTTTTCTCATAGCACTAAGTTGTTTGGACAACTAAATATGTAAAAAAGAACAGCTAATTCGACAAAACTTAATTTGATGTTTAATCTCAAGATAGAGAAGCATTAAACAGATTAAAACAAATGCTAAAAATGGATACCATTACTTTCACTATAAAAATCATCTACACTCACCAATCATCTCGTTCACCTATCTAAACAGAAAATAAGAATTGCAATACTCATTTAGGATTTGAGGTGAAAAAAAAAGTTATGGCAGGTCAAGCCTTCAAAAAAACATGCAGCATTTTCACGATTGTTGCTATAATTATGATAGTATTTTCGGCACATATTTCTCATTCAACCAATGTAGAAATGTGTGTTAAACATTGTATCCTGAATCAGTGCTCGAAAGTGATGAAAAAATATGATCCGGTCATTTGCGAAGAAGCTTGCAAAAAACTTTGTAAGAAACAACAAACGTCTCATACAGAATATTACGTTCCTCCAAGGGATGGTGGCGGTTTTGTAAGTGGCATCTTATGCGGCTGGATGCAGAAGGAGTGCTAAAAAATTTTAATTTCAAATTATGAAAATTAACATTCTTTTTTTCTGCGTTAGTACAAAATGAAAATATAAATGTATGTATGTTTCTGTTTGTATTATTATTATATTAGTCGACATATATTATGTATACATTCTTGTATTCTCATGTAATCCTTTTTTTTCGTTCTTTCATTATTAAATACTCCATTCGTTTCATAACAAGTGTCATTTAAGCAAAATGAGAATTCAATGGGGGATGTATTGAAGTAGGGGTTTTAAGTGATTATTATAGGTGATTTTGTATTTTAGGAGATTTTAGGAGATTTGGAAGATTTAGTGGGATTTAGGGTGGATTTTGTGGGATTTAAAAAACGTATTGTTGGAATTTGGGGGATTTTAGTGGGATTTCAAGTGAGTTTTGTTGGATTCTAAAAAAGAAAATTATAAGGTTTGGGTGATTTGATAACATTCAAGAAAAAAAAAAGTTCCTAGAAACATATAACTTTCGTTCCTAGGAGTAATGAAAAATATTTGAGCGGAAAAGCAAATCAATGTCTTTCGTTCAAGTGCCTAAACATATAACTTTTTAACTCGTAATTAAGATCAAACACATGAAGACACAGCATTTCCACATCAAGTAGTCGTCAGATTTTTATTTCATTACAATAATTGTTTAAACCCATCAAATTTTCAACAACCCAAAAACTCTAATCAACAACCCAGAAACTCTAATCATTCAAATTAGCTGTTGTAACTCAATTAAGCTATCGAAAGGGAATCCCAGAGTTATTCTGTTGATTTGATCGATTTCGTGTTTTTATGTCGGTTTCGTCATTTTGGGTTCGGGTCTGCGAGTCGGTGTCGACCAACAGCACTTTGGTGTGGATCGACACAGGGTGCTGGTGTCGACCGACATCATGGGTGGTGTCGCTCGACACCAATGAAGTTTGTTGGTTTTGCTTGTGTTTCGCTTTTGTTTGATTGTTGGTTGCTTGTGCTAGTGTTTTGCGTAATTGGAAGCCATTACGAAAACAGTTTGAAAAGTTTCGCTTGAATCCATTTCGTCTTGTTCTGCCCAATAAAATGAAGGATCAATGGAGAAAACAGTTTCTCAAATCGAGCTGAAATAGAAAGAAAACAGAATAGACCTTGACTCTATCCATGGAGAAAGCAGTCACCACCTTCGACAAAGATAAGTCCTTTAACACCGATTAAGGAACTCGGGTTAACTTTCCTTTTAACAAAGAAGCCAAACCTAACTTGCTCGACAAGATTTGTTTGGCAGGACAGAGAGTACTAGTGTATATTAAAATTGGGTGTTGACTCACAATATTACACTGCTGATTGATATAATGACAGTGATATATGCACGTCTCATCTAGTGTATCTTTTTTTTTTTTAAACTTGTGTGTTATAATAGTTTTTAAAAACAAAATAAGCAAGCCTCAGGCAAAGATTCAATAATCTATTGTCTTATAGATCAAATACATGACATCCTAAAAAGATTACAAAGGTCCATGTAACATACTCTTAACAAGGTCTAAAGATATAGTTAACATTAATGTTAAAACGAGGGTGATAAGGATCTCAAGTCTCAACTCTCAAGGCTTCATCATCTTTTTTTGTTGCAATGCATGAGATAAACGGCTTTCCCCTGTCAAACCGGAACTTGAATACTGGTGGAGTTCCATTGTGCCGTCATGTCTAGGAGAAGGCTCAAAAAGGCACTGCCTCACTTCACCAATCATCTTCACACGCTAGAGTTCTCGAATAGTTTGATAAAACCATTAACTTTAGCCCACCGATTCACGGTTTTTGGTAGGTCTGCAGACTTTGGGTGAACTAGGTGGAGTTTGGGTAAGTACCGTCTGGTCCACGTATTTTGGGTAATCGATCTTTGTGTGTATTTGGGTTCGGTATTAGGTCGGGTTAAAGTCTAGAGAACAAAAATTTATCCAATATTTTTTTGTTATGATTTGGATTCAAAAATTATGGCAAAATTAAACCCAAAACCCTGAAAAATATCAGTAAATCCGATTTTTATTTAAAGAAAAAATATCAAAATACTGAAAATATATTTGAAAGCTCGGAAAAAGAAATCCAAAAAAACTAAAAAATTATATCAATAATATGAAAAATAATCCACAATACCATAATTTGGGTAATTCGGGTATCTGATCGGCTATCGATTCGGTTCGGTTCGAGTATTACACACTAATATCAAATATTTTACCCATCGGATGATTTGTTTTATACCTAAAACCAATCAATTACGTGTATTTCGGGTCGATATGGTTTGGGTTTCTAAGTATAGGTTAAATGTTGCAGGCCTAACATTGTATAGGTTTGGAACAATCACTCCGACAAGCATATATATATATATATATATGATCCATACATATCTAAGAATAAAAATAGGGACAACATTATAAAAATCAGATTCAAAGATCATTGCAGAGAAACCCTAAAAGAGATTGCTTGCAGGACAAGATATAGTTTTTTTTTTAAAGTTACATCCTGGACAATGGAGTTTTGTTCGTAGATGTTTTCCAAATGCTCGAGAAACATATTCTCCTTGAGAGAGTTTGATCAGGTTTACGATCGATGATCTTTAGTACTCCGTTTGGAAGAAATTCACCTGTCTTCTGTTAAAAAACACCAAGCACATAAATCTTTTCAAACCGACAAACCATGAAACCATGAGATATACAGAGAAATCCGAAACCAGATTCATTTCACCCTTAATTCGAGTTATCCTATCGGCATTAGGATCATTAGAGTAGTACTCGAGCTGTTGGCTTATAACTCTTGAGAACTTATCATTTGTAGCATAAGCTTTCGCCAAATGAGCCATAAGTCCGGACAAATCTCTCGTGTGTATCCTCAATAACCGAAAATGGAATTCTAACAGTCAAAACGTATAAGAAGAGTTCACAAGCATTGTCAAAAGAAAAATAACGTTCCAAGAAACTAAAAGTTAATTGAAAAAAAAAAAACATACTCTTGATACATATTGTTTACCAAATTATGGCCCTAAATGGTGTTAGCAGAATTGCTGAATGCTGAAGAATCTAGCTGAATATTTTTTGTTGGTTACCAGTTGAGATGAGAACAGATTCAGCTGGAAAAAACAAAAATCCACTAAAAGACAAAAGTTGCAGAATTAAGTTTACAAAATTACTATTTATACTGCTATCTTTGTACTACTAGTATTTGTATCACTATATTTAGTACCACTTATATTTTCGGTTAAGGGTGAAATGAATCTGGTT